CCCCCCGACCCCAAACCAACCAACCATGTCCACAGTTCATAAGAGCTGTTCCCATGTGACCCGTCCATTCGTCATTTAGAAAGGTCACAAATTCTAGATTCACCCATTCTAAGCTTCCACGTGTCTACTCTTTCTTCTATATTGACCATTTCACCCTTCCTTCTCCTAGCAATTTCATTCGACCAGTTTTAATAACATTTCAGTCTCATTCTTTTTCTGTTGAATTTTGAGTGCCTTATCATATTAGATCCATTCATACACCTCTCCATAGTACGATTCTGCAAATATATATCATCATCTCTTTGTTTCTCCAACAGGTCTGCTATTTTTCTTTTATACAATCTTCCATTTATTTTCTGTAAGTTTTATATCTTGTGGTTATGTGGGGTAATGGGTATGTTCGATCTGATCATATTAGCGTGTGAAAATGGTTAATTTTCTTGAAAGTTGATGGTTTGTATGTGGGTCAAATAGGATTATCTGAATTACATTTTTTTCAATTTGGATATGAACTAAAGTTGAATTGTTTTTTTTTTTTTTTGGTTTCTCTTTTTTGTTGTTTATGTCTGATTATTGATGAATTGGGTTTCTGTTGATTTCCAGTATGCATCTTAAGATGATTCCAATTTTGTCCCTGCAAATGATTTAAGTGATTTTAATTGTCTATCGTTTACCCAGATTCTTATCGATGTGCACGGATTTTGATGCTTTGTTAAGAAATATATCTATGGTGGAACGTTAATCCCAGCCAGTCAATTTCGAAATATACTCAAATGGATGGCTTGGGTTTATCAGGTGCATTCTTTCCATTCAAGAAAGAGTCATTTGCCAATTTAGCTATCAAGTTGTTCATCTTGTATCTTTCTCTCCATTGTTGTTGTGGTGGTGGAAGTGTTAGCGATATCCAGTTAGGTTTCTCCTGACAAGGAAGATAACTGTTGTAATGCATCTCTCTTATGGAGGTTCATGAGTCATGATGTATATTTGACCTGTCTAGGTTTTTCTTTGTGATACACATAATGTAGTATGAACTTCATTAATTCCATTTTGGAAATGTCTTTCATCCTAAGGTACGTTATATACATATATTATTTTGCCTGCTTGTAGGAGGGAAGGCCATGTGAATCGTTTGAAGCAGAGTGGAACAGCTAATATATTAAATTTCAGTCACGATATTAGTTTGGTAGTTGCTGGGAGATGGGTAAACGCAAGGGTTGTGGGAAACTGGGAAGAATGGTGAGGAACAGGCCTGGTAGTGCTTACCAGTCTTCTCTTCTTCAGTCCCCTGTTGTTTCTGTTTGGGATTGTATTGTGCGCAAAATGAGGTATTCCTATATACCTGAGTGGGTGTAGCTGCAGTTTTAGTATTTTGGTTTCATTACAGTTTTCATATTTGGAATCATTAGTTCTTTGCTATAGTATTAATAACAAAGTATAGAAGGAAACGGAAATAAATAGTTGTAGAGATGGAATGTGCTAAAGCTTCACCTGCTGTTAGAAAAGGGAACAAGAAGCAAGTAAAGGATGAGTTGGATCGGATTAAACAGGCTGAGAAAAAAAAGAGGCGCTTAGAGAAAGCCTTGGCTACTTCAGCTGCCATCCGCTCTGAATTGGAAAAGAAGAAACAGAAAAAGATAGAAGAACAGCAAAAGCTTGATGAAGAGGGTGCCGCAATCGCCGAGGCAGTTGCTCTGCATGTCCTAGTAGGTGAGGACTCAGATGATTCATGTAAGCTTTTGCTGGAGAAGGATGAAGAATCAAACCCATGGGATATTGGTAGCAATTTTGATTTTTTTATGGGCGGATATAGAGCCATGCTTCCTCATCAAGAACTCTCAAAATATTCAGTTGAAGGAACACAGTGGGTGTCTGGTCCCAACGGGTATGGATGCATGTGTGAGCAGGAAAATAGCACGTGGATGGTCTCTTCTGTACCTTTTTCAGGGAATGTTCAACATCAATGGTTTGATGTGGAGAATTGGGAGGTTGCCAGACTTTCTGCTGGACTTCTTGCAGCACAAGCTGTCTCATCACTTCAGATTGCAGAAGATGCTTCAATGGACTCATATGTCTTCAGTCGGATGCTGAGAGAGTGAACTGTGGAGGTCTAACGTCTATCATCCAGTTGGTCGGTACTTTATGAGATGTTTTTTTTTATTTGTATGGTTTCGGATAATTTCATGTATATATATTTCTAGTGAACTTAATCCGCATTGTTTTTGACTTTCTATGCTTGTGTCGGTCATGAGCCTTTAAAATTCACTAAATAGTTCCTGGATGATTATCGCACTATGAATGTTACATTGTAGTTCTGATTGTGAAACTAATTGTATGGTGTTGTTGATGGGAATCCACAGCTTAGATTAATTGGGGAGATAATCCTGAGGGCATCCATCTATTGGGAAATTTGATTTGTCTCTTTGGTCAAAAATTGAGCAAGAAATTGTTCTGTTTGCGTTTTAGCTGGTATTGTATCATTTTCTTAGATATATTAAGTTTATTAAAATCCTCATACAAGACTTATGAGCATAAGGTAGAACAAAATACATCCCCGCTGCCCTTTCCCTATGGAAAACTGTCCTTTCTATGGAGATAATTGGCTGCACTGCTGAAGCATTTTGCACGCCAAGAAACAATACACCAGCACACATACAACCTTTTGCATTGAAAAAATCTTGTTGCCATCTCCTAAAATATGGTGCAACCAAACATTAGACTTGAAACTAAGAGAAACAGAAATCTTGAAAATCAGGAACGGTTCTTGCAGTGTATCTTGTTTTTCTTTTTTACCTCTTGGAGCTGAGATTCCAGAATATTGTGCCACACAGTAGATTGAGCAACGAAGATCATAAAACAGAAGCCTGATAGCTGTATATGGAGGATTTCTCCAGTATGACCAGTGCTGTTTCGCTATGCATTGTGTGTAGAAAAGACAGTTAGATCTTTTGAACCTGGGGCTGGCACACTTAGTTCCTTGATTAATGCTTCATTTCTCCTGAATTATATTGTAAATCAATCTACTTTAGAATCAAGCTCTGGTCAACTAGAGTTTGATTTTTGTTTCAAGAGATTTCGTACTTAAGCAACTCTGAGTTCTTAAACATTTCTGCAAAGTCAATTCCGAGAAATGCTTCTTGTGCTGCTGCAGTGATCTCCAGCATCCATATTGCAGGATTATAACCATCTTTGATTTTAGGGACTCCTTTTACTCCCTGAGGCAAATAAGAAAAGATCCCTTAGTTTTAGTACCTAGCCGGCATTGTGATGCCAATTGTTCTACCTAGATTTATTTTCTCACCTCGAAATACTTGCTAAGCTGAGAAGAATGGCATCCTAATGGACCGACATATATTTCTTCACCTCCTCTTTTCAGGAGAAACAGCTGCAGTTTGTTTTAGGATGATTAGCCTTCTTTTCTTGGAAGAAGATTACTTATAATTTCTAAAATCTATTTAAAGTAAATGTTCTGACCTCATCAAAAAATGCTTGGCCGATGAATGGTGCATACAACTGTTCGACCAGTATCTACTGTGCTTCTAACTGTCCTCATCACTATTGCAGCTGCCCTAGCATCTATTCCTGGGGTTGGTTCATCCATGATTATAACGAAGGGATTGGCAACAAGCTCAACTGCAATAGTAAGTCTCTTTCTCTGTTCGGTTGGTAGACCATTCGCTCCAGGAAACCCGACTACTGATTCTCTTAATGGTTTAGCTCTACAAGTTCCATGACTTCTTCAATATACATCTGCAGCATCGGTGTCTAGTTTATTAGCAGCCAGTTTATATAAGCATTACTAGTTTATCTTTCTAGTTGCAGTCTTCCCGAGGCAATCGAAGCCAAGCGTAATATTGCAGGGATTCATTTACTGTCACATGTGGTGAATGAATGTCAGTTTGCTCACGGTATCCTGCTACTCGAGCAAATGTTTCTTGCTCGTTGGGGTATCCTGATATAGTGATGCTTCCCTCAATGTATCCGCCAGTTTTCCTACAAGCTAAGACATCCATTAGGGTCGTCTTACCCGCTCCAGTAACACCAATCAGAGCTGTCAAAACTCCAGGCCTACACCTTTCAAGAGTTCAAGCCAATCCTCAATAATTCCTTGAGCTTTCATTTTCTGGGGTCACAACATTACTTTTATTTTGTGCACCATAGAAACTTAAATAGCAAAAAGAGTTTAGCTTTTATCATCTGTAGCATTGGCTCAATATTACTTGCGAACATGTATATTATTTTTGTAAAATTTTCAATAAAATTTTGTGGGCCCATCAGAAACGACATAACGAACAATAGTCATCGCTTCGCCATGACTACCTGCTGGCATCGGACTCGTTGATGCTGCCAGCTCTTTCTTCTGTTTGTGCAAAATAAAGCACATTGGGAGTTAAGCCCACCAACAGAGCTCCCTTCTCTTAATGATAATTCAATAACTTCACAGCTTCTTCAGATAGAATTGGTTGAGGTTTCCCAAATGCTGCACAAACAGCACTAACACTCAGTCAACATGTTGTCCTTGTATGTATGGAATGGAGAATAGATTGCATAACATGAGTTAACTGGATTCTTACGATTGAGATAAGTTAAGGCCACAGAGAAAAGGAAATTGAAGAGCAAAACATATCCAAGAAGAGCTCCTACTCCATTTTAACACCAGCTTGCATATGAAAAGAGTCCACGCGATTTTAAGAATGTTTCGCCTAAGATATCCGCGGAGTTTGGAGGAACCTGCAAAACAAAGTAAAGGTGAACTGCAAACCTTTGGCATCTTCTTTTACATACAAGTCCATAATCCCTTACTTAATTGTGCCCTACCCAACTCTTCTCGAGAAATTCATTGACTGCAATTGCGTTCTTTGCATACATTTTAGGTGAAAACCAGTAGCCCCATATCCACCATTTTTCACATCATCTGATAGACAATTTGTTTACTCTAAAACGGATAACAATTGAATTTATACTGTGGTTTTAAGGATACGTGATTTACTTAGTACAAACTGAGCAAAAATGTAAATTGATATTGAAATTAACTGCAAATAGAAATACAACAAACCAAATGAAATGTATAGCTATGATCCTTGAACTAGGTTGCCCTCGAATCAAGTGAATATTTCGCCGGAAAGTATGAACAAAGCAACAGAAATATTGAGAGCTTAAGAGAAAGAGAATATATTGCTTTATGTAACGTGAATATTATGTATCTTTTACAAATGATCAGACCCCTTTATATAGTAAGGGAGTCTTACTCTTGGTACAATTCTTAATAGAGTAAGAAATCCTATGATTGTCTAATTAATCGGCCTATTCTTGATACGTGCCGGGATTCGTGCTGTGATCTTCGCCCGATTGCGGATATTTCGTCTTTCTGTTATTCGACCCAGTAGCTTCCCTCGAACTCCATCTTATTCGGTCTCGATCTTGGTCGATCTCAATTTCGGTCGGTCTCGGTTTTGGTCGGTCTCGATCATAATCGGTCTTAGGGTCTCGAGCTTAATCAGTCTCAGGGTCTCGAGCTTGACAACCTAACTCTGCACCATAGTTTGATATAAATCGAAGCCGATCCTTGACTTATCATGCTCCAGCCTTGATCAGTCGCACAAGAAGGGCAAGCCCGATTTTGACTGTATACAGATAGTCCCCTCGTTTTTTGGAGAGTAATGACAAGAAACGATTTGAGCCCTCGATCTTCACCGACGTAAGCGTCATGACGTAAGCAACACAGGTAACCGAAACGTCTCGTCGGTACATTTTCCCAAGCATTTAATACACGCTAGTCGACGGTCGGCCACTACCAGATTTGAACCGTAATCTTAAACCTATAAATGTATCTTTCTTCATTTTCAAACTTTACTTTCAAATCTTCTTTACTCTAATCTCCAAAACTATTTGCCTTCTTCGGAGCTTTGTATTTTCATATCTCTGAGTTTCTTCACTTGTTTCATCACAAATTACCAAACGCTCCTCCTCAATTTCATTCTTTTTCATTCATAAAAGTGGCTAAGACTTCAAAAACCGTTCCACAAAAGGAGACTGCTTCATCGTCACGGTAGGCTGGTGAGGAAACGGCGGCGGAGCCACGCCCTGAAGAGTTTTTTCCCGGAGGGTGTGTTCTCGAATCTGATTTCAAGGTTGAAAAGGCTTCCTCAGTGCCGGGCCAATGTGAGCTGGTATCGAGGTATATATGATCGATAACCGAAAAAATCCTCTCCCAGGTTAAAAAAGATTGCAACTGGGGTAAAAAAAACATGTGGTGGTGCCTGCTCCAAAAGAATCAATCACCACCCACGTGGAAGAGTTCTTAAGTGTATACACCTACCCCTTCACGTTGGGTCCCTTCGATCCGATTATCATAGATTTCTGCAAGAAATACGAGGTGACCCTCGGTCAGATTTATCCCTCTTTCTGGAGGATAGTGATACTACTTCGTTTCTTCGCAAGCAAAGTTGATGGGCTTCCCTTCCCCCGACTCTATCGAGGAGGACTAATAAAGCTTCAACTCTGGGCCACCAGGGCACCTTTCTCGAGCATAGACGAGGACAAAGACCGGGGCTGGATGGGCCAATTTGTTCGAGTGAAGACCTCGGACTTGATCCCGACCGAGAGTATGCCATTTCCTGAGAAATGGAATATGAAATGTAAGTATGATTCCGTCCTTAATTTCTGTTTATTGCCTTCATTTTTTCATCCTTTCTTGTTAGTGTTTTACTGGATGCAGTCGTTGCCTAGATGCCAGGTGCGATCCCCCAACTTGAGGACTGGGTCAGGAGCCTGATATTGCAGTCGATGTATGCTGAGCGCGCATGGCGCGATTTGGCAAAGGGTCGATGGGAGGCTAGTAGCCATGGTAAATTTTTCTCCTCGACTTAATGATTTGATCATTGTTTGAATATTTCTCCGAACTTACTCACTTCTCTTCTTTTGTAGGTCTTGGGAAGGAGGAGATGATGAGGCCTCCGTCCGGTGATGAAGAAATCCTTCCCCTACCATCTGTATCGAAGCCGGTGAAGGAGAAGAAAAGGAAAAGGGCTTCGACTTCCACGAACTCTGAGGGGCAGAAACCCAAAAAGAAGACAGCACGTAAACCCAAGAGGAACGTCATCCCTCTAACTTTTGGAGTCAGTTCAACGGCTAAGGGATGAGGCCGAAGAAGAAGAAGAAGAAGAAGACTCTGGGCTGGTGGCCCGTGTGCGATCCGGCATCGAGATTCAAGGAACTACTGAGCCGACGGGAGCTGAAACTGACCTGCCTCAACTTGACGAGGTTGAGGGGGAGGCCTTGGCCGAAGTCCCCGAGCCAGAAAAAGCCGAAGATGCTTCACCTCAAGGTGGGAAGGCCATCGAGGAGGCGATCAACGCTGGTGTAAAAACCGTGCTCGAGGCTTCCCGATACGAAAGCGGTGCCCCAAAAGATTTACTTGGGATGATAGATATCGGAGATTCCCCCTCGTTTCCTTCATTCACTGAGTTGATGATGCATGAAGCTCGGGCGGTGGAGACTTGCCACGGGGAAGGGGTCCATGGAGCAGAAGACCCTTTCCGTGGTTATTTTGTTGGAGTGGAAGATGTCACCGGACTGGGTGACTTGGACGTACCGAGCAAGAGCTCGAGTGAGTCTTCCTCGGGCTTTAAATTGACCAACCATTTTCTGACCCCCAATGTCGATCACGGGCGTAAGCGATCAATTATCATCTCGGTCCCGGAGGATGCCAGGTTCTTTCTGCCCTCGTAGGGGTGGCTAGCTATCTCTGATGCTTGGTCACTGAAGAAGACTAAGCCAAGATGGATGAAGTGGAAACACCCTGTCGTTTCAACGAAGCCCAACATGCTCTAAACCGGATAATCCCATATTCCCTTGTCGATGTCAATTTTTGTACTTAGACTTTCCTCCCTTTATATAACTCCTCTTTCTATGTCTGTAGGCTTCGGTGCTTCATCATGAGGCTTTCCTATGATCCCGAGGGGAGCGAAGTTGGCATGAGGCCGAGATCCGAGGGCTCACTAAGGAAAAGTATGCCTTCAAGCTTCTCAATGAGCAAAGAGAAGAGGAAGTTAAAGGCCTCCGTGCTGAGCTAGAAACGACTCAGAAAGAACATGCTGAACTGGCCGAACAAGTAAAAAGAATCTTTGAAGTTAATGGTGGTGACTCGGGTGGTGGCTAATGGTTCGAACCTGTAGGTCCAACAAAAGCTCGACGTGATCGTGCAACTCCGTGAGGAGGTAGACGTAGTGAAAACTGAGATCGAAGCATGGAAGAAGAATATGGATCGCCTTGCCTCAGAAAAGGAGACTGCCCGGGCTCAACTAGCCTCGACTGAAATCCAACTACAAGGCATAAAAGAAAAAACCTTGGTGCAAGCCAAGAAAATTTAGGAGATCCAATCTCAGTTGGGTTCAACAAATTTCGATCAGGAGAAGCTGTTCACAGAGCTCGAAGCGGCCAAATCAGAGGTCGAAGCGACCAAGGCCAATGCAGATGCAGTGCTATTTACCGAGCCGATGCCCAAGCATTGAGCACGTGATTTTTTTCCTATATGAATTACTCCCATAAATTCAAATAAATAACTTTTTCCCAGTGTTTGCAATTTTGTGGATATTTGTGGTATTTTTTGTCGACTGTTTGCATTTGTCTATGCACGTTTATTTTATTTAATTCATAAAAAATATAAAATATGTTGCATGTGCATTTAGGATTTAATTTGTATTTTGGAATTAGTTAGTAATTTAGTTGTGTTACAAAAATGGAAAAATCACAAAAAATGACTCATTTTGCATTTTTAACTCTTTAACTTTAAATTTGATAATTAATTATTTGTTTGTAAGTATTATTTGGTGTAATTAATCTATTTTGGTAGGATAATTTGGTTTAGAATTAACTTAGTTTTTATTTTTGAAAAAAGGAAAAGAATTTATGAAAAAAAAAGAAAGGAAATAAAATGAATTGGAATTAAAGTCTTGCTGGGCTGTTTAGTTAATTCTCCATCAGGCCCAAATTATTTCCCCTCCACTAACCCGTCAAATTGGCCCAAAACCCGCTATTTTACCCGGTCCAAGGAGTCAGTTGCCCAGGCCTTTGAAACGACGTAGTACAGGAGTGGAACTACGTCATTTCGAGTTCAGTGTAGCCTCAACAAATCCTGGCCCTTCATCTTGTTTCATCCAACGATCCAAAATACATCCCCATTCTCGCTTAAAAGTGTCCGAAATATTTCAGAGACAGCCCAATTCAAAACTCCCCTCTATCTCTCAC